GCTTGGAGCAGGGGCTAATTAATAAAAGGCACCGTAGACAGAGCAAGGAGGCCCGGGGCAGAGTGGTCAGGGAAGGGGACAGTGTATGTATGCAGTGGGAGCTCAGGAGTCCTCATACAGATGGAAGGCTGTGTTCGGTTGCTGGAAAGGTTGGATATTTACCGGGCACAGGGAAACACTAATTGTTTGGTGGTGGGTGGGGTGGGGGGGATGACGACCAGAGGTCGTTTCTTTTCTCTGTTTAACATCAGCATTAATTTATCAACCCAGGAATCTGCTACTTGTTTTAAAATATGGTCACCTACTGTGAGAGGGACAGACACATCTTCTACAGACTTAAAGGACCCTTCTGCAGTTGAGTAAACACAAGAGTATCTTGTTTAGCTAGGATATTTGGCCAGAGACCCAATGCCCATTTCCATATTGTAGTGGACTGGGGAGGGGGGTGAGCAGAAGGAACCATAATCTAAACCAACACTGAGAACTATGGGTGCCGTCATGCTCAGTCAGAGTGTGCTGTGGGGCGGGGGGGGGGGGGGGTTCAGTCTTCAGGAAGCCTTTACTCTGCTGTGACCTTGGCTGAATGAAGCAAATAAAAATTGTTGGCCTTGAATTTGCACTGGCTTAAGGTTGAAATTTTGAACCCCAGGACCTAATCTTTAACATAGGCAGCGAAGATTTTCTACAGCAAAATTGATACACATACAAAAAAAAAAAAAAATTCAAAAGAAGTCAGAAGAGAGAGGCTCCTCATAACAAGAATTGACAGCACGAATACCAGGAGAAGGGGCTGTAGAGATGACTCCGTGGTTAAGAGCACCAGCTGCTCTTCCAGAGGACCTGAGTTCAGTTTCCAGCAACCACATGGTGGCTCACGACCATCTGTAATGAGATCTAGTGCCCTCTTCTGGCCTGCAGGTACATATGCGGAACACTTATACAGAAAAATATCAATAAATAAATAAAAATTTACAAAAGAATACCAGGAGAAAATAGTCTCAAGTTTCCCATGACACCCTGCATTTAACATGCTTGCCAACTTATTGTAATGACATAAACGGGCACAACAAAGTAGTTGCCATCATGGTTTTGAGGAAGGGGTAAACAGATGGCTTAGACGTTTAAAAGCTCAGCAAAAACTCAAGCGCGGACTGAAGAGGTGGCTGGGTGGTTGAGAGTGCATACTGCTCTTGGAAGAGGACACGAGTTCCATTCACAGCACCAACATCGGGCAGTTCACAGCGGGATCTTGCGCCCTCTCCTGACCTCTGCCGGTACTGCACTCAAGTGCACACCTCGTCAAGTTAAGTCAGTTCCAAAGAGGACATTACTTGGCCTCCATCGCTCAGAAAGAACTGAAGTTCAGAATTACTGTCCTGAATCATCAAGAACGAAAAATGACTCTCCTTAACTGTTGACTTTGTTTAAGAAAAATAGGGAAGTGCGGCATGTGACTTAAAAACGCTCCGGGACTTTTTCACTAAGGAACTCCACCCAGGAAAATACTCTTCTTCAATCGGGTTCATTTTGACATGAATGAGGTATTTTGCTCTGAATCTATGTAGACTTGTGTGTGAGGTTGTTGGCCTAAGAAATGTACTTTCATGGCTTCCTAGTGGCTTTCGAACTTCCTAAAAATATTTTCAAGATACCTATTTGGTAAGCTCTTATTCTTTCAAAGAACTAGCTCTTGATTTTAGTTACCTTTGGTTGGGCCTCTACATTAGTGTGTATATGTGTGTGTGTGTGTGTGTGTGTGTGTGTGTGTGGCCTGCTTGAAGACTGATGAATAAGTTGTGTAGGATGGCATGTTGGTAAGTGTTTTAAAAAAATACACAGTTCAAACTTTAGAAATGGAAAAATACTCAGCCTCATGTGTGTGGGTTTCTAAAACCATAACATCGAACCCTCTGGCTGATGACTCAAGCGAATGGCCTCTGTCTGCCGAGGCATCAGCCTCCTGGTATCTTCTGCTCCCAGGGGGGATGAATTGGATTCTCTCTGTTTGCCCAGACAGCCCTGAGTCCTGTCTTTTTGTCCCTGGGCACGGGCAGCTGGCAAAACCACAGCGGCCTTTGCTTCTGCCTGTAGTAGCTACCGGGTCCCCAGGACAGTATGCTTAGGGTTTGGCTCCCTGTGGATAGCCTGAGGGAGGAGGCAGGCAAAGCTAACAGAGAGGGTGGCTTTGGGTTGCACTGGCACAGAACGGCTGACTCTCGTGAGTGAAATTTTCCGAGCAGACAGCAAGCTTCAGTGGAACAAAATGAAGGAGCAACGGTCAGGAAAAGATCCGTCTGGGGTTTGCTCAGTAACAGCCTTGACCTTGGGGGTGGAGATTTTAAGGAATAGAAAGACAAAGGGTTAGGTGTCACATACCAGAATAATCCTTCCTGTCAGGGCCCTGGTTTTAGGTCAAAGGGCAATTTTTCTAGGTAATTCCATGTACAGAAAGCAGAAGAGGAAACGTGGGCAGCCTCTTCTCCTCACGTCTCCTTTCTGCTAAGAGCTACTGCCCACCCACAGAAGGGCAGCTGAGGCAGTTCTCTGTTGGGAGAGGCACCACATAAGCTTTGAGGTAGACAATTAAACATGTCCCCAAGATGCAAAGAGAGGGGAGGCTGATTTCCTTTGATAGCAAAAGGTTTACAAACCCAGGAACTCTTTGGAGGAAAAAAAAATGCAGTGTGGAAGAGAAGGAGTTGTAAAGAGTATAAGAACAAGACAAAACTTCCAGGACTTAATGAGATGAACCGTTCCTTTCCCAAGAAAGTAAAGTGAGGCATGGGGAGAGGCAAGCCCCTTATTCGGCATGCAAATGATCATGAGGGAGAGGCTGAGAGACCAGATACGCCCTTCTAAACATAAAAATTAGTGAGAGAGACAGAGAATGGGGAATGGGGGACCGGTGGTGGGGGACCCAGAGAAGGCTAGATGGATGAAGTTTAACCCTAGAGGAGCCTTGCTGACAGTTTGGCATGGGGGGAAGAGGGGGAAGGGGGGAGGGGGGAAATAGATTCCAGAAAGGTTTTTCTCTGACCTCTTCAACCTTTTAGGTTGAAGCCAGCAGCAGGGATGGGGAGTGCGGAGGAAAACAGGAAGCTGCTTCGGAAGGCTGAGAAGCTGGGAGATAGCCTGGAACTTGCCTGCTTCCTCCCTTCAGACTCCAGCAAGGGTGAGGTTTGTGTCCCTTCTGCTGACCAGTGCTCCACACCAGGCTCTCCCTACCCTGGGGGATGGGTCTTGAAAGGGAGTGCGCTTCCTTTTCGTCTTCCCAATATATTTGGAACTTTGCTCATTGCCATATGGATCCAACCTTCTAAAGAGCTGGGCCCTTTTCTTCTGTCATCGTGAATATCCATAAAATGGCCTCTTAGCAATTTCCGCTAGAGATTTTGCTGGTATCAGCAGAACCGAATTTGGCCCTCCGTCCAGAGAGGTGCTTAGTCAAATTTCTCTGAGCTCACTCTCAAGCACCCTGTACATTATACTTCAGTTGACGCCAACCCTTCTGAGGCCTAGCCAAAGGCTCCCGGACCTGAAATACATTTTACAGAAACCGTTCTAACCCAGATTCTTTGTAAAGTTCACTGTTGGGGAAGTGGAAGCCCACGGACGCTGAGTCAATGTGTCTAGTATGTCTAGCACAGATAAAAGGGAACTGGTCTGCTACGTCATCCAGGCAGCCAAGACTGGCCCTGGAATTAGAAACCCCATCCTGTGACTCTTGGTCATGTGCGGCATCCATCCGGGAAACTCTGATTTTTTTCAACACAGGCTACCTCCTGTTAGAAGGAAACCATTCTGTAGGTGCAAAGTGGTCCTGGGAGGCTTATAATGACAACGGTTCCCCAGGCCTCAGAGTTTAGCACTAGTTACAGGCAGCTCTTGTTTCCTTCGGAGGAGGAAGTGCTGGCCTGGACTGAAGCCTGTCTGCAGTGGAGGCCAGGAGTATGGCCTGCTCTCTTATACCTGTCCCACAAGCTGTCCCCTTATTAATTATTCAGGACTCACAATTCCTTGGTCACAGTCACGCTCAGAATGCTTGTTCATCATGTGAATACTGAACGCTTACCCAGAGCTTATGGTTAAAGACCAAAACTGCCATTGGCACATTCTTTTGTGAACTGAACACTTGCACTTTTGATTCGCAAGGAAACACCTAGGGTAGAGCTTTAATAACCCACTCAGCCATCTTCTCTATTCTCCACACGACTACTCAGCCTGCCTCCCCACCCGCCCAAGCACGGCATCTCAAAAGCAGTCGTCTAGCTGTCCACATTTCCAAGGTGGCTAAACTGATGTCCGGTGGCAGGGTCAGCTGAGTTGCCTTGAGGGACTGACTTAACTTCTCTGTGCCTTGGTGCTCTCGTGTTAAAATGGAGGTCATGATGGCACTGACTTCCCAGGGCCATGGTGAGAACTGAGTGGCTTAATTATTCGTAGAGCAATTAGAACTGGGTTTGTAGAGCAAATCCATACCTGCATCTTTGATAGTAACCTGGGCAGCGCAGACATCAAGAATCAATTGGAGTCTTAAATCTGTCTTCATCAACCCAGTACCTCTTGCTCTTTTAAAGCAATGAACAGCCCCCTCCCTCAGAAAGCAATAAGCCAATCCCCAGTGCTGGATATATTTGAGGATCCAGCTACTGTTTTATTTGGGAAGCTGGTGGGGCTCCCTGATAAGGCAGCAGTTGAAATGGGGGAGCTCTCCAAGGGAAGATAAATCATAGAGCCAATAAGTGGTGTAGCCCACTTCTGGCCCCCATGGAAACTCTCCTCACTGCCAACTTTTGCAGACAGGGCACTGCTTTTTTTTTTCTACCTTATTCCAGAAAGTTCTTCATAATACCACAGAATCAACTCCACCCTCCCTCTCCTAAAAGGTAATGCCGTCTTTATGTGTCTCTCTGTGGCTGGGACCCACTACCATCCTTCGTGGACAAACTAGAAGGACAGTGGCCGGATGTGTGTGTCCCCATCCACAGGGCTGTGCTTACTTGCAGTCATGTTTCTCGATTTCAAAGTGAGGGTTGAAGTTGAGGACGATCTTCTGGTTGGGTTCCGGTGCGTACACAACCCACTCACAGTTCTGGTGAGAGGGATAGTCCTGGGGGTAACCCGGGGAGGTGATGTAGCCAGCATCCTTGGAATTCAGCCGACCTCCACAGGGTGGGTCTGGAAGAGAGGGAAACAGCACCAAAGGACTTGAGATATGCTCCAGCAGCCTCCCTTGGCCTTTCCTCCCTCCCAGTGACTATTTTACAGACCTTTTATGGCAGTCCAGGAGACTAACCTATTTATTCATTCAGTGGAAGAGATTATTTCAGCTCTTCGCTCCTCGTAGCCACCCAACCACACACACACACACACACACACACACACACACACACACACACACCCACATATACACACACACACACCACCACACACACACACCACACACATACACACACACACCACACACACACACACACCACACACACACACACACACACACACACACACACACACACACACACACACATACCACACACATACACACACACACTCCAGAAGATGGTCATAAATATTCCAATTACAAGGCTGGAGATTATAAAAATAAGAGTATACTCTTAAGAAGTCTCCCTGCCTTTTCCTGTCTCCCTTTCTTGGCCATCTTCCTCTCTTCCTTCAAGCCTCCCATCTCTATCTTTGTCTCATAAATCCTTCATTTTATTGGGTGTCTCCTAGCCCAGCACAGGGAGTCAGCAGCCGGGCTCCAGGAACTGACAATCGTGGTTTTGTGGTACCAACCCACAAACCTGGCAACAATTACAAGAGGTGTAAGGAGGCACTTCCAGCTTTGGGCCAAAACAGGCCCTAGAGTGTGATTTCAGCTTGTTTTTAAAGAACTCCCCCCCCCCAACATTGAATTCCACGCACACCACAGATTTGATTTATTATTTCATTATACACCCAGTGGAAGGCTCTGTATTAGAGGATCCCTGGCTCCGATCTCAGCTTTTCCACAAAGGTGCTTTGTGTGGGGTGGACCAGACGCCTTAGCTTTCTGCCCACTGTCCCTCCGGCTCCGTGGCCACCAGAGTGTGCTGGTGCTTCTGGAAAGGGAGAGGCAGGGGAAGAGAGGGCTCCCCCACCCCTTCCTGGAGGTAAACAGGAGGGAAGGGGCCACCTTCAAAGGCTGAAATGGTAGGTGATGACATTTCAAGATTCTCATCTATCCAGGAGGGAACGTCTGCCATCCTTAGCAGGGGTTCTTGGGAAATAGTGGGGTTTGCTTAATACCCTAGTTAGAGCAGAGGGGCACAGGAGACACGGAACCGTATTCTGAAACCTCTTGGAGCGTTCGTGAGCATTTTGTGTCTCTGAGCATCAATCACGATTTAATACCGCCATCTGCATGGACCAGCGTGGGCCCGTGAATTATGTATTACAGCTCAGCAGACCCCCTCCAGGACGGGGGTCTTTCTCCTGTGTTTCCTCAAAGAGGGAATGGGTCATGCATTTTTAACTCCACAGGTGCACTTTAGCAGCCCCTGTGTCTGTTGGCATTACTGTCTCCCAGCCCTCTGCTGCCGACTGCCAGCCTGACAGGCTTGAAATGCATAAATGATAGGCATGCTGCACAATGGTGGTAGGACACAAATCCACACGAGTAGCCTTTTTGGCATCTAGCTTCCAAGGGCTCAAACTGTGCCTGGTTGAACTGCCCAGAATCTAATGGATTCAGGTCCATTTCCTACTGGGTAGAAAACAAAAGTGAGCTGTTTCCTCGGGCTAACAGCTACAGTATCATCCTCTACCTAATGACCCTGCATCCTCCCCAGGCCTGGAGGACAATGGGTCCATCCCTCCCACCCAGGTGCTTCCACCTCCCCTCCCCTGCCTCTGCAGCCCACGCCTGCAGGCTTTGCAGGCACCCCAAAGCACTCCCCCAACGTGGGCACCAGTGTCTTCCAGCTGGTCACATGGTGGCTTCGGTAGGTGAAAGGGGCGGGTAGAAGCCTTCTGACAAGGCAGACATGCGGGTACTTAGAGAGGGCACTTAGCTCACTTGCTCTTTTGCCAAAGGAGCAGAGGAAAGAATCTTCTACTGGGCCAGCACCCTGCCAGGTTTTTTTTTTTTCCCCCAGAAAACTGCCTGGCCTTACCCCTAAAACACGCTTTGTGCCTTGGAACTCATGGGGGAAACGTGAGCAGAGCTCCTGTTTAGTAACCTTACGGTTTCCCTATCAAGGTTTCTCTGTGTAGTTTTGATGCCTGTCCTGGATCTCACTCTGTAGACCAGGCTGGCCTTGAACTCACAGAGATCCGCCTGGCTCTGCCTCCTGAGTGCTGGGATTCAAGGAGTGCACCACCAACGTCCTCTTAAAGGACGTTCTCCCCTCAACTCCCGGAACCCCAGGCCTTCTGCATTTAGACCACGCACACAGATCAGCAATGGAGTCGGGAACAAAACTTCCTTCCAGAAAGGTTTCATTTCTTACCTGCACTCAGCCTAATTACGGCCCCACAACAGAAATTTTGCCTAACTCTACTGTGCTCTGTAGCCAATCGTCTGCACTCCTGCTGTTGAAATTTATTAACTGAAAGGAAAAGGAAAACCCTCCTGCTTTCCCCTGTCTCCCACCCCCCCATCAATTCTTTATCAGAAGAAAATCAAGACACTTAATGAAATATCTGTGGACTCATTAACATCTGCCTCAGTTGTATGTTTTTAACCCTTTCAATACCCATACACTTATAAATGAGCATTCTTGCTTAGGCTGCATTCACACTCAGAAGTGCACACACATAGATCCTGAGCTCCCATCAATTACATACACGTATCAGTAATTCGCACTTCAGTCCTGTACACACGTTTGCACCCTCTCATAAAATATCACACATCATTTGCACAGACATATATCCACAAAGATAAATACTAGAATTTCTGTCTTTATTTTTCTTGGAGAGAACCGAATTCTTGAAAGACAGCAGTAAAAACTGTAAAGAAAACACACTAAATCCTTCTACGTCTCTTCTTGATAATTGATCTTTTCATTTCTAGATTGTGTGTGTGTGGGGGGGAGGGGCCTGCATGTCTTAAGTACAAGCTTGCCCCAATAAGAATTAGCTAGAATTTCTTGTGAAGCGTTAGATCATCCTTTACTTTGTAGGCCTTTATTGTGCTCCCAAAGAACTTCATAAATGCTTTCTGTCTTGTTTCAGAGCCATCAAACCAAGTGGAGAGAAAGTTGAACTCAAGGGCAAACCCCTTAAGGCCAGTCTCCCACAGGGAGGGAACCAGACCCTGCTAAGGCTGGAGCCACTGAGCCTGTTTGGTGAGTTGACAAGGGAGTTCATTTTGCAACTATTTTGTGCACACCTTTCACCTGGGGCCAATGTATTTCCCACAGAGAAGGAGCAGACACATTTGGGAGGGAAGCCTGAGGGGTGAGCTGGGCAGGTCAGGGGTCAGTGGGAGACAGGACCTGGTGAGACACCTCCACACATAACTTCTAGGGAAGAGAAAGCTAACTCGTACAGTCTCAGGGTTTAGATTTTTCCCTCTTAGTGAATACTTAAGAGCTTTTATTTGAAAAGTAAAATGCCATTTTTTTTTCTAAATTTCTACATCTCTGCTCATATCACCTAGCACCATCTAATCTGCCTATGGGTTTCCTGATACTGCCCCCCCCCACCCCACTGAAGATTAAAGAATTTCCTACTCCTTTACTGAGGCCCTCCTAGAGAGCCTGAATTAAGACAGAGCTCCTTAGTAATATTTGATTTTGAGGAGATATTAAAAAAGGGCAGAAGAAGAACTCTTACAATCTAGTCTGCCATCTAGGAAATTTAATTGGAGTTGTTTGAAAGGAAAATGGTGTTGCCTGAATTTGATGATAAAAACTCAGGGCAGACTGTGGTGAGGATTTTGCCTTTTTTTTTTTTCTTTTAAGATTTATTTATTTTGTATGTGTTATATGCATGAGAGCTTTGCCTATATGTATGTATGTATGTGCACCACATATATGCCTGGGGTCCTTGGAGGCCAGAAGAGGGCACCTGATCTCCTGGAACTGTCCTAGAGTTACATGGTTGTAAGTGACCATATGGGTACTGGGAACTAAACCTGAGTCCTCTCCGTAAGAGCAGAAAGTCTTCTTCACCAGCCATCCCTCCAGCCCCCTGTGCGGAGCTCTTCTAAATAATCAGAATTCTGACGGCCTGCTTCAACAGCAGAGTCCTGTGACCACAGGTGGAGACCCTACAGACCCTTAGGTTAGCAGACTGGAAAGAGAGTATGAACAGGGGCACTCGGTAGTTGGCTGACTCTGGGAGTAGTGAGGTAACTGTTAGAGGGGTGTGTGTGTGTGTGTGTGTGTGTGTGTGTGTGTGTGTGTGTGTGTTTATTGAGTGGTGGTGGTGAGCGCTTGACAGTGGTAAAAAGAGGGAAGAAGCTTACTTCTTACTTGAGTGGGGCCTCCCGGGGTCTCACCTTTATATATTTAATCCAATGTGGACTGTAGTAGGTAGTAGTTGTCTTTTTTTTTTTTTTTTTCGAGACAGGGTTTCTCTGTGTAGTTTTGGTGCCTGTCCTGGATCTCACTCTGTAGCCCAGGCTGGCCTCGAACTCACAGAGATCCGCCTGGCTCTGCCTCCTGAGTGCTGGGATTAAAGGCGTGCGCCACCACCGCCTGACAGTTGTGCTATTTTTTAAGAAGTACTCTTTCCCCTTGCATGAAAACTCTACCCAGAATTCCAAGTACAATGGAGGCAAAAGAGAAAGTCTCCTTGGATGCTCCCAGGAAAGGAACCAGAAAACTAAGAAAGTCGCTTTGGCTTCTAGGCTCTCCCCTCATTTCTCGTGGGATTCTCCGGGACCTCCTGGATCTGTGTGAAACCCACTGAGCTTGGCTCTCTGTGACTTTAACATGCCACAGAGACAAGAGGGTAGATTAGAGACATCTGCTTCTCATGTGGGTAACCCCACTTCTCTGTGGTTCCCCCTTCCACGGTTTCAGTTATCTGTAGTCAAAGACATTGCCATACCTCGATGACCGTCCTTCTGGCACATAGGTCAATAGCAGTCTAACACTGTTGTTAAGTCCTTCTTAGTTATTGACTTCACTACATGATAACACACAGAATCACAACAGTAGACAGATGATGGATAGATGATAGATAGATAG